AGGCAGTGATGGGCAAATGTGGGAGGTTATTCCTGTAAGTGTGGCTTTTCCCTGGCCGCCCCCTGCAGACTTCACAGCTGTGTGAGCTCCTCGGAAGCTAATGTTGTCCTAGCCATGTGGATGCCCGTTCCCTGTGGCTGTGGGGCGCCAACAGCCCACAGGACACAGGGCCCAGCCCCCACCCCTGCTCTGTTTTCCAAACTCTCCTAATCCTCTTAGTCTTTTCACATCTCACCTGCCTGCTGGCCTGGTGGCTTCCATTAGCGCCTTTACAGCTAGGTTTGCTTCTGGCTCCACCTGGCACCTCACAGGCTCACTGCGTCCCCGTGGGCACCGAGGGTGCAGCCAGAGAGTGGGGTGCATTTTCTTCCTATTTTGTTTTACCCTCCCCCAAAGAAACCACATTTGCCTTGTTTTGTCTTCTTTTTACATTTTCTCCTGGGTGTCTCAACTGGCACCTGAGTGGCAGGTGGGGTGGGGGGAGTGTAAGGGCAGGACAGGCCACTGAGCAGGTTTTCTATGACTCCAGCAGATGGGGTAAAGGAGGAGAGAGTCCTGGAGCCCTCAGTGGCTTTTCAGGCTTTTATTGGGATTTACCAGGTACATGGCAGGCAGGGGTGCTGGGGGGCCGGGAGGCTGGCAGGCCTCCCAGCCCCCAGCAAGTCTTCATTCTGGACTCTCCGGCCTTCTCTCACGTTCTCTCTGCTCTTCTCATGGCTCTGCTTCTCTCTCGGCTTTTGCTTCTGCTTCTTTGCTTCTCTGCTTCCTTCCCACCTTCTGCTGGCGTCCCCATGATGCCGCCCCTAAAAGCTCAGTGTCGGTCCAGGTGAATCCCAAACTGGACTCCAGGTGCCCGCCATCAGGCACGCATTCAGGACCGCGGGGTTCCGTCATCTATCCTCATGGCGGGAGGGCAGAAAAGCCTGATACTTTTTACCTTCCCCTACAAGGAGACAGGACTTTTGCTAAGTGCCTACCACATGCATGCCCGGGACGCGCCAGTGTGGGGCCAATGTCATCTCCAGTGTAAATCTCCAGGGTCAATGAAGTCATTGGGCTTTTTCCTGTCCTCCCTCTGCTAGCATGGATGCCAGGGCATGGGGCATGGGCACGGGGGCACGCCTCTCATTGTGGACACCTGGGCCCGGGAGCGCAGGCACGCTCATGTGTAAGTGCTCACACCTGTGCCCAGAGGCCAAGCTAAAAGGGCGGCGTCACGCTGAGCCGGGACTGTGGCTGGGAGAGGAGCGGCTCACAGGCTTGCTGCGACGCCAGACACAGGAGATCTTTTGTGCAGAAGGCAAAGGGAAGGCAGAGGCCGTGCTGCCTCCGTCTCCACGACAAATCACTTGTTTTGTCTGTTTTTTTTTGTAAAACAATCCCCTAAAGCGCTTTAACTGGCCAAGAGATACAAAGAACAAAGACGGCCGCTGAAGAGGAGAGCAAGCTCTGGCAGCTCCTTCCCCAATTCCCAGGCGCCCTCCCCCTGGCCAACAAAACCCTGATCCTGGAAGGGATGGGGCAATAGAGACCCCGAAGGCGCAGGGGGAGGGAAGGGGCTTAGCTGGAGAGGCCTGATTAAGTCGATCTCCATTATAAAGAGCCGGGAGAAGAAGACTGGGTGGGGGGAAGGAGACAGAGGGTCCCGGAGGTTTGATTTTTGAGGGGCAGGTGGGGGCAGCAGGTGGGAGAGGAAGGAGTGACTAGTAAACTCCATGCCCCTTTCCTGCCATCACCAGAGGCTTGGGCGTCTGTGCTGACCGGGCAGCTGGCGAAGAGGGCTCCAGAAAGACCGCGCTCGGAAGCTTTATTCCTCATAACCAAAGCTGTCCACCGGTGGGGGAGGGCTAGACAGGTGCAGCGCACATGCAGCGGAATACTACTCGGCAACAAAAACTGAGTGGACACAGGCCACAATGGGGAGGCATCTTAGGAGCAGGTGACAAAAAAGCACGCACTGGATTCCATTTTCATGAAGCTCAAGAATGGGCAGAAGGAGGGTCCTCCCTGGTGGCGCAAGGGGTTAAGATGCAATCTATGAAGCTGTCTGCAGCCACTTCACGAGTTCGATCCCCAGCCAGGGAGCAACCACATGGCGCAGCAGACCTCCCCTGTCTCGCCTGCTGCTCCCTCAGCAGTGTGTTTCGGTTGGTCTGCCTGTTCTGTTCCCTACTCTGTCTCTGGTGAATCCTCTCACCCCCCACACCTCTGGCCTGTACCCCAGCTCTTGTATGCATAAATAAATAAATCTTAAACAATGGGCAGAAGGGCCCACAGAGATAGACGGTGGAAACTGGCCAGTCTGACAAGGGAGGTAGTACTGGGGTGATGGAGATGCTCCGTATTTTGCTCTCTAGGGAGGTATAGGGTGTGCTCACGCAAATGAAGAGCTCCTGAATGGTGCCCCTAAGATCCGCGCAGTCTACTGTGTATAAATTGCACCTTGATCTTTAAAAATGAATAGAAAAGAAATGCAAGAACTTCAGAGTCATGTTATAGGCACATTTGGCAATCTGCATTTTGCCTAGTAAGCTTCAGAGAAGGAAAGAGCTAAAAAATACCCACATAAATAAGGTCAGGGTACTGCCCATCCTCTGGAGCCTCAAGGAACCGATTTCTGGAATGAGCCTGGATGGGGAAACCGAAGGACCTGTGTCCCCCAGAGCCCTTCATGGACTAAAGCCCTCACCCTGAGTATGATTCAGTCTTTAAAAATCCAGTTACTCTGGGGAGGAGGGGATATACATTAGGCTGCTGGCACCCAATTAAAGAAAGAAAAATCTGTTCTATGTTAAAGCCAAAACTGACAGCAAAGACTATTGCAAAATGGTAATACAGTCTCCAACACAGCGCTGCCCTAAGTTTTTTTTTTTTTTTCCCAACGATAATATTGACCATTTACAATTTTTGCCTAATATGCTGATTTTGGACCCCAGCCCTTGAGTGAGATGTGACTCAATCATAAAGAATTTGACTGGTTTCGGTTTTTGTAGTTTTATTCGTTTATTTTTTGCTCATTCTTTAAAACTCCAACCACCTGCTGAGACGGGGGCTGGTGGATCTTGGTGTTCCGAGCATTGCCAGGGCTTTCCTCTCGTCCCTACATCTGCCTCCCCTCCAGGAGTCTGGAGAAGTGGAAGAATAATCCACCCATGGGATGGGAGGTGTCTCTCTCTGACCCATCTGCTTACCACACTAATTCTGTGTTCATTACTATCGACACCTTTTCTTTCCTGGGAAGTGTTTATACTCTTGCAACAGCCTGATAAGTAAAATCATCCAACACTTGGAAATAAAGCAAATAGATAACTGGTGTCCTTTCAAAGTCAAATTAGAACAGTGTCTAACGAGCCCTCCTAAGGGGCACCTGCCACTCTAGGGGAATGTCACTTTGCTTGACTTATTATTTACTATTGATTAGGTCCCAGGCTCTGTAAAGATAGCTGGTAGCTGGTAAAAAACTGATAAGTTGCAAGTTATTTTTGTCTGATTGAGATGCAAATGATTTCTTTCTCATAGAGAAGTGCCCCCCTCCCAATGTTGTAATTTTTTGCCCTGTAGAACTTAACCAGTTTTATATCTAACCTAGCTGGTCCAGGATTCTTGTCTTTCTTGTTATTATTATTAATAATTATTATTACTATTGAATGTTTCTCACATTCATCATTGAATCAGTTTTATCATCCTGCTGATTCCTTAAATAAGAAACTATCAAAATAAATTGATACCCATCAAAGAAGGTGGGTAGCAGAAGGGGTGCTACAGAAGATTTAGGGCAACTTCTTGATAGATGGAGAAAGTGAGGCTCAGAGTGGTTAGGTGACTTGGCCAGGTCACAGAGATATTGTTCATACGATGACTTATTTTAATGTGGTTTGACAGTATAAACTTCCTTGGAAGTTTATATAATCCCTTGGTAGCCCCATCTCAGATAAAGAAATTGAAGTCCAGGGAATGGTGAATCTTGCCAGGTCCCACTATGAGTCAGATGTGGGCTGAGTGGGTGAGATTCCTGCTTTCCTAACCTCCTGAAGTCTGGGTGCACAGGAGGGGCTAACAGGAGGAGCTCTGGGGCCCACGCCTGGTATCTGCTGGGTCTATATTGGGTGCCATGCAAGATTGCAAACGAAAAAGGAGTCCAAAGGTGTGACAACCCTGGCCTTAGGCCATCTTCATCTGCGCATGTACAACAGCCTTCTCTTCCCTCCTCCTCCCTCTGGCAAAATTCTCAGGGAAAAAAATATGGTCATGGGAAGAAGCAGGAATATGTGGTCAGTCCAGGCCTGAACACTAGGGTCTCCAGTCTTGGGTGAGACAGAGTCACTCAATCTAAGTACAAGCTCTCAAGGTCAAAGTGAGCTGCGCTGGCAGGTGGTGAGCTCCCCGTCCACAAGAGAGAGCAAGGCTGGATGATCATCCAAATTTAACAACAGTTCTCTAGATGGTAGAATCCTCATTTTTAAGCCACTATTTTATGTCCCTATATTTTGCAAGTGTATTGTGTCATGAGAACTTTTTAATAGCTCAATGAGGTAAATCTGTGCTTCCTGATTTACAAATAAGAAAGCTAAGGCCCAAGAGGGTAAGTGGCTCTCCAAGGGTATGCTATGCCGCGGCAGGTGGAGAGCAGGTTGCCAAGCTTCTCACCACATTCCACTGCTCTGTGTGCTTTGCTTTGCTTTGCTGCGCTGTCCAAGCTGTGACAATGAATACGTGCTGCTTTCATTATCAAGAAAAAGTCTTAGGACTTAACCAAATTTAAAGGAGTTTCTCTCCACCCTGATGCCTCTCTGGTTCTCACCGCTCCCCCGGGACGCCGTCCTCTGCCCCATCCATGCAGACTCTGCCGTGCGTCCCTCACCCACACCAGCTGTGCTGAGGTAGGACGTCAGTGTCTCGGTTTTGCTGAGGTCTGCTCAAAATGTCCCTGTCTGGGCTCTGGCTTCTGGGGCAAGGCCAGGGGCAGGTCCACGGAGGAGAAGGGAAGTGGAAAAGGATGTGAAACTTGTCCTCAGCCCAGCACCGCCCCTGCTGAGTGTCCCACAGGGGCCCTGGGTGAGGGCAGGAGCGTCCAGTCGAGTTGACCACCCGAGGCAGGTGAGGCCAGCGCCTGAGGGGGGGGGCATGAAGTTCAGGGGACCAGGGAGCCAGCCTGGGAGGCTTGACCACTGAGGCAGGGAGGGAGGGAGAGCACAACTAGTTGGTTCTGTGCCAGGACAGGGGTGGGGGGAGAACCGGATCCAGAATGGCTGAGTGGGGAATCAACTCCTTGGGTCAGAGTTGGGGGAAGGTGGGAGGCTCAGATTCATCAGCTCTAATAAGAGTTCCTGGGCCTGGTCCCCCAAAGCACAAGAAGCTGGCGAGGCTGGGGGTGTCAGAATGTGGCAGGAGGCTCTCACAGAGAAGATGGTGTGTGTGGGGGAGCGTTGCTGAAAGGGGCCGAGTGTATGCGGGAGTGAGCAGGTGTGCTGTGTCCAGCCTCTGTGAATCCCTGCGGCGTGCACAGCCCTACCAGCCGGGCGAGAGAGCGTTAGTTAAATAAGGAGCAGGTGCTCAATAAATATTTGTCCAGTGGAATTGATCGTCTGTAGCAGTCTATGAATGTGTGTGTCCAGGCAAGTGAAGAATGGCATCAATTTGGGGGTCAGTTTGTGTGTCCCAAGCGTGTGGTAGATTTTTACTGCTTACTCTGTCATGTAGGTGTGGGGTAAGAGCTGGTGTTTGTGTCTGAGGGTGCACCTCTACAGATGTGCTCCGTTGCACGTGTGCATCTTGTGAGTTTGTGGTTCTGTGTGTAGGTGTGGGGTCCCCGGAGCTGGTTAGAAGGGGGACTTCAGAGGGCCTCCAGGCTTCATGTGGGTGTCATCACTGTGTGTGTGTGGGAGGGAGAGATTCAATGTGAAAGCGGGTGTGTCCAGCCTGCCCGGCCCTGCTTGTGTCTCCACAGTGGCATCATGGGGGCCCCCTGGGGCTGGTTGGCAGCCGGCGTGCTGGCCATATCCCTGGCCTCTGCAGTGACCCAGGACGTGTGCCGAGCACCAGACGGAACAAATGGGGCGGCAGGAATACCAGGCCGACCTGGGAGGCCAGGCCTCAAGGGGGAGCAAGGGGAACCGGGTAAGCATGCCTTCTGCCCCCCCAGTCCCTCACCCCTCCCCCTGCTCTGGGATCCAGGACGGAGGCTGGGGGGAGGAGCACTGAGAAGCACTTGGCCCTCCACAGAAAGCTCCTCTGGGGACACTTGGTCCCAGAGGCGAGGAGACTTCGCTTTCTCTCTGGGCCCTGTCCCCCAGCCCCCGAGCCTCTCCCTTACTGGCCGAGTCTTCCTCCAGAGAACAGGCTGCCACCAGCAATGAGCGTGAAATGTCTTCAGGAGCACCCAGCCATTGGTTACTCAGTTACCAGAAAGACTGAGGCCCTAGGCTTGAGACCAAGGAGCCCTTGTCTTACTGTGTGACCTCAGCAAGGGACCCTCTCTGAGCCTCCATTCCCTCAACTGTAAAATGACAACGTCCTGTCTGGCACACAGGGCTCGACTTATGTCAACTGTGCCTTCTGCTTCCTTCCATCCCTCCCAATTCTTCCCCTGCTTCCACTCTCCCTGTCCGTTCAGGCGTCAGAAACTCTCAGTTTCTCGACAGCAGGCTGGGGGTGAAGGAAAAGGGAGGTTTCCCGTAACCCCACTGAGCCTCCCAGGCCACAGCAAACCAGAACCTCCTGCACTGACATTTGCAATAACGTGCATCCAGGCATCCTCCATGCGGCCCTTGAACCTGAGGACAGCAGGGTTGGTACTCTGGGGGTGTGGGGTGCAGGTGCTGGGCAGGAATATCCAGAGGAGCCACGTTCTGCTTTTCCCAGAACCCGACCCTTTCCCAGCCTGTCCACATTTCTCTCCACTTTACAAATGAAGCAGCTGCGGCTAGAGAGGTTGAGATGACTGCCCAAGCTCACGCACGGGCTCAGGTCAATGTCTGGACGGCCCAGGCGCTGCCCTCCCTTCTCGCCCTCCCCAGCAGTCCCGGGCCATCGTCTTCCTGAGGACCGTTGGACACTAGACTCTCACTCCTGATCTGGCCTTTCTCCTGACAGGGGCCCCCGCCATAAGGACGGGCATCCGAGGCCCTAAAGGAGACCAGGGGGACCCTGGGCTCCCTGGATTACCTGGCATTTTGGGCTACTCAGGGCCCAGCGGCCTCCCGGGGGATCCTGGTGCCCCAGGAAGCAGAGGCGCCAAGGGCAACCCAGGAAACATCAAGGACCAGCCACGGCCGGCCTTCTCGGCCCTGCTGCGGAACTCACTCTCAGGGAGCAACGTGGTCATCTTCGGCACCGTCGTCACCAACCAGGAGGGCGCGTATCAGAACAACTCGGGCCACTTCGTCTGCGCCGTGCCCGGCTACTACTACTTCACCTTCCAGGTGGTGTCCAAGTGGGACATCTGTCTGTCCATCATGCTGTCCGCGCGGAGCCAGGTCCGGCGCACCTTGGGCTTCTGCGACGCCAACAGCAGGGCCATCTTCCAGGTGGTGTCGGGGGGCACGGTGCTCCAGCTGCAGCGTGGGGACCATGTCTGGATTGAGAAGGACCCCGCCAAGGGCCGCATCTACCAGGGGCCCGAGGCTGACAGCGTCTTCAGCGGCTTCCTCATCTTCCCGTCTGCCTGAGCCGGGGACGGAGCCCCCTCCTCACCCGGGCCTCATCTGCTTCCTGCTCTGTGACCCCAGCCCGGCCCGCTCACTCCACCTCTCTGGTGTCTGTGCTCCGCTCTGTAAAGTGGGAGGCTGTTGCTTTCGTTGCCCGAAGGAAGGTTATTTCTGAGAAAACTTCCTGGAATAAACACTTAAGTCCACACCTTCTGAGCTTGAGAGTCTGTTGCGACGGGGGTCACAAGAATGACAGTTACTGAGTCCTCAGGAGGAGGCCTGCATTCAGGCATTTACAATATGTGCTTAGAGTCCTGGGAGCTTATCAGCCTGGGTTCTAATCCTGGGGTCCCCACTTACCAGTCGTGCACACACACACACACACACACACACAAGTGCTTGTGACATAACTTCCTTGAACCTTCCTTTCCTTATCTGTAAAGTGGGACTGATACTGTAAAGTGGCACCTACCAGTGGGCTGTTGGGAAGTGATCTGATAAATGAAAGCTGCCGAGCAGTGCCCGGCCTGCAGTAAGGGGTATGGGCTTCGTAAGTTTTGTTATTATTTTTCATTTAATCTTTACAGATAGTGAAGCTAAGCCTGGGTGATTGGCAGACATGAAGCCTTAGATCAGTGTTTAGGGGGAGGATCTGGGATTTGAACCCATGTCTCACAGACAGCCAAGCTTGCGTGTCTAACCCTCCCCCACCTCCGCAGCATGCACCTGACAAATGGCCGCCTGCTTCCCGAGCCCGAAGCTGAAAGGCAGGTGCGGAGCTCGGAGAGGAGGAACAATTGGCCCAAGGACATCCAGCGTCCTCCCTGAAGCCAGATTTCCTGGCCAACTCGAAGGCTTGAAATCTGCCTGCTGGACTGGGAGGGCCAAGACGCTCGCGGTGCACACCCAGGTCCCACTGAGTCTATGTGGGAGCTGCTCAGACAATAGAAGCTCCACGATGTCTGTTGTACGTGATGAAACCAGGAGACTAGGAGTTCAGTCCTAAAATTGTCCAATGCTTAAAAATATCCAGGGGGGGCCTCCCCTGGTGGCGCAGCGGTTGAGCGCTGGGCTGCGAGGCTGCCTGTGGCCTCTGCAGTGCCGGTTCGTTCCCCGGCTGCCGGCGAGGGTCCCACAAAAAAAAAAAAAAATCCAGGGGGCATTTTCCCAGAGGAAGCTGGTTTTTATCATTCTGCTGCAGTCACGTCTGCACACAGCAACCATAATACACACGTGTGCACACACAACCACACACATGCCCACCCCCACGCACGTACACGCCTCCCTCGAGATGCCTATGAACTCCCATCCCTCAGACACTCCTCAGTCATCCCTCAAGTCTACACAGACACGCTGGGGGATCATGTGCTGTCATAGCCATGCACCTCTGCTCACCTGCCCTTCACAAGCCATCAGAACATGCTCTCATGCACACCTGGAGAGCCCAGACACACAATGACACAGGTTGTGTATTCTCACCGTGCACACACGGCTCACGCTGACCTTGTGTGCTCACACCCCCTGGGGCCCTCAGGACACAGGCCGCTCCCAGGCTCTCCCAGCCTCTCACTGACAGCCAGAGTCCTCACCTACACACCCCCACCCCCGCCGCTGGTTTCACTGCAGGCCTCTCCCGGCTGCCCTGTCCTGCAGCCTCTGGTGGCCAGGAGACGACAGAGCCCAGCCCTCTTGGTCCCGCTTGTCCCAGCGCTGCCCCTGCACCCAGGACACTCGCACCGACTGGGGAAAGAGACACCTTTGAGTGCCGACTCCGCGCTAGACAATTCTTCACCATGGACGAACTTAATCCTAGCAAAATAGGCGAGGATTTGGAGAAAGGGCACTTCTGCCCAAGGTCACACCGCCAGAACTGGCAGGGCTTAGATTCGAACCAGCTCTGCCTGACCCCAGAGTGGCTTCTCTCATTGCAATGGGACAAAGAAAATGTCGGGTGGAGGCCTGCAAGTGGCCAGAGAGGCCAGAGGCAGTGGGTGTGAAGAGGACCTGACTGTTCCTGTTCCCAAATCCCACCCCTACCCACCCCCCTCTGCGAGGCCCCTCACCAGCCTGGCTGCCAGAGCTCAAGTGGCCTGGTGGGCAGGAGGGGCAATGAGGGCTGAGCACGGGCCGAGGCTGCCACCTGCTGGACAAGCCAGGTGCAGGCACAAAGGCGGCAGGCGGAAGATGGGATGGGAGCCAGGGGGCAGGGTCCCCACCTTCCAAAATGCTGTGCCTGTCGTTTCTGCTCTTCCAAGCCCTCGACCTGCTGGGGACTCCCAGGACCAAGTGCATCTACATCCTTGCTCTCCCTCACACTCTGCATCCCTGCACCACAAGGTGGAGGTACAGATGGGGAGACTGAGGCCCTGAGGGGTCACCCAGGGAGTCCGAGGCAAGGATCTGAACTGCTCATACCCAGTGCAGGACTAAGCAGTGTGCGCATCCTGCATGGAGGGCTCACTGCTGTCCTGCAGGGGGCTGTCGGGACCCCCATACACAGAGGACGAGTGGACACAGGCAGGGGCGAGGCAGCGGTCGGGGATAGAGGTGAGGAAGGCAGTGCTGGCAGGGAAGGTGGGTGATCAGGGGAATCAGGGGCCCCCGCGAGGGAGACGTACCACCATGGAAAGCCTGGGGTCTTCTGCCCCACCCTGACCCCCAATATACAGATGGGAAGGAGGACTGGAGGGGCCTGTGATTTGCTGAAGGCCTCTGGGCGCGGGAGTGGAGGGCTAGAAGGAGACCCCAAGGCTGCTGGCTGTAGCCAGAGCCAGCTGCCCGCCAGAGCAGGCTGCGGCCATCAAAGCTTATCCATCTCAGGTGTCCACCTCTCAGTGCAATAAGTAGGAGGGGGCGTTGGAAGTTTCTAGAATAAAGCCTGCCTTGTGACAAGTGCACCCGAGGCTTCTTCTTGGGGGAAGCCAAGAAGGCTTTGGGCCACAAGAAACCACTCGCTGTGTGACCTTGGGCGATGGCTTTCCCCTCCCCGAGCCTCGGTTTCCTCCTCTGGGAAGGGGGATTCCAGCTCTTCCCCAAGACGTTGTGCAACAGCTCGGTTTCAACCGGCAGATGGGAATGGGCTTTCGATGGCGTGAACTTGACTGTAGGGGAAGTCGGCCAGGAGGCTCATGTTTACACTCGCACCCGCGCCCTCAGCGCTTCACCAGATCCGGGAAGAGGACGTTTCCTCATTTCAGACACGCAGGGCTGGGGAGGGGCCGCGCGGGTGTCGCTGCGGTCAGCCTGGCTCAGCAGCCAGAAGAAAGTGTTGAATCAGGGAAAAAAAAAAATGAGAAAGGGGATGTGGGATTGGGGGGAGGGGGAGAGGGCCCGAGAGGGGGGCCCGGCCTGCTCTGGGCTGTCCTGGCTGTGTCCACTGTCACCGCGTCCTCCTGCTGGGAGACGGGCGCAGACCTGAGGGCATCGCTGTGACCAGACCAAGACCTCCCTCCCCCGGTGAGTGCAGGCCCCCTGCCCAGGGAGGGAACACCTTGTTTCCTCCACCCCCTGGGGCCTTCCTCAAACACGGCCCCCGGGGACAGCCCCACTGGAGAGTGGAGGGGTCCCCTGCCCGGTGAGCTGGGGACCTGGCCCAGAAGTCCCCACTCTTTCCGTCATGGGGTCCTGAGGGGCGAGGGGTCTGGGGTGGGGAGCGTCTTCTGATAGCCGAGCTGGGAAAGGGTGGGGGAGCCGGGTCGGGCCTGGACCGGCCAACTCCGCTCTCTCCCACCAGCTCCTCCTCAGGATGGACGTGGGCTCCCGCTCCCGATGGGCCCCCCTGGGTCTAAACCTCGTGCTGCTCCTGCTGCTGCTGCCCCTGGAGAGCCAGGCCAGCACCAGCTGCTACGGGATCCCCGGGATGCCTGGGCTGCCGGGAGCCCCAGGGAAGGATGGGCATGATGGACTGCAGGGGCCCAAGGGTGAGCCAGGTGAGTCTGCTGCCGAGTTGGGGGCCCTGGGGCACAGGGGCTGGAGTGTCCACCTGGGCCTGACCTGGGGGACGGGAGAGAGCAACTTGACAGCAAGACCAGCTCCCAGGGCTGGTCTAGCTCCTCTCTCCTCAGAGCCTGGGCTCAGGACTGCCCAGCTCACCTCTCTGCTCCCAGTTCCCTCACCTGGTATCAGGGGGAGAATAAGGCACCCTTCCTGGAAGATGGCAGGAGGCCCCAGGGGAAGATCCAGGTGAAAACCTTTGACAAACTTGAGCATGTAATGTTGACGTTTCTTCCCACCCCTTCACTCCCTGTCCTGCGACGTGGACCCCTGGGGAAGTGGGGGTGGGGGACACAGCATGAATATATGCGATGCCAGCAGGACCAGGCATCCAATCCCAGCCCTGCCACTTCCACTGCGTGAACTCACGCCAATTCCTTAACCTCACACTGCCTCGGTTTCCTCACCTGCAAAGTGGGAACTGGTAGCGCTACTGCTCAGAGGCAGCTGTGATGATTAGATACCTTTAAAGAGACATCCCTCCCCCCAGCACAAGGTAGGTATCTGATAAGCGTAGGCCTTGCTTATCATCGTTCTTATCAAGGATCTGTCTCATCTGCCTCCAAAGGAGTCTGGGTAATTGGAGGGTGGGAAGTGAGAAGATCTCAGCCACAGACTCTCCTGTTGGAAACTCACAGGTAACCCCTGACATGAGCCCAAGGGACTCAGGACATGAATGGGCTGCTGTTGGGAGAGCTAGAGTCTGGGGGAGCCTTGTCTGTGAGTCGGGGTACAACTCAGAGGCGGAGTGTGTCTGTCTGGAATGGGCCTGGGTGAGCTGGATGGGCCTAGGCAGAGGTGATGGGGGAGGGGACAGAAACAGCGGGGTGGGGGAGGGGAGCAGTCAAGAGGAATGTTCTTAGGCATCTCCCACCATCTTCCATCCCAGCCAGAGTGAAATTTTACTGACATTCCAAAAGGAGCCCCAGGTCTGCCATGTTTCTGGACCCTGTAATCCCCAGCTGCCTCCGCGTCCCATTGCCCAGGTGGTTGATGGCCATCAATTATTGAGCTCCTACTATGTGCCAGGCATGATTCCAAATGCCCTGCACATATTTGCCTCACAGGGTAGAGAAAATGGTTAACTCTATTCCATAAATGAGAACACCCAGGTCGAAATCCTTTAAAGAAGTGATTCACACCAATTTTACCAAAGTCAAACTGTGGCCCAGAGAGACTGAACAACTTACCTGAAGCCGCAAGGTGGACTCCTGTCCCATGTCAAAACTCGCCCTTAACACCGCCTTCCAGGGTCCTCAGGCCCCTCCCACCACTGGGTCCTTCCCCCCCAGGCAGCCTCGGGCAGACCCCCTGAAGGATGTGAGCTGGCCTGCGCAGCAACACCTGATGGCCTCCACAGGGACCTGCCATGGCTGGGCACTTCCCAGGAGGTGCTGCCACACGCATCCGCCACCCTGTCCTCTAGCAGCTCTCTGGGATCCGTGCTGTTATGCCTTTATCTCAGCCGGGCAAACAGGCTCAGGGAGGAGAGATCGCCTAACCTGAAGCCCACAACCCCTCACTCCTAACCCTGGAAACTAAAAGGCACACCAGCGCTGGGGATCTGGCACAGCATAGGTCTGCACAGACACCCAGTCCTGAGGAGGTCAGAGGAGGCCACAGGGATGGTCAGAGAGGGCTTGCTAGAAGAGGATACTGGAGCCAGATGAGCAGTTTGGACAAGGAGAGAAGAATCTTGTAGAGACTCGGATAACCAGGGCCGACACTGGGATTCAGGCAGACTTGACTTTGATGCCCAATTCTACCTGCTCCTCGCTGCATGGCCACATGCGGCGAAGGGGGGTGGGTCTTAGGGTCAGTTTCCTTGTCTGTACAATGAGACCAGAGGTCATAAGGGGGTGAAGGGGGCTGAGTGGGAAGAGAGGCAGTGGAAAAAGCAGCCCCCTTAGTGGGGTGGCTTCTCCTGGACTCTCCTGTGTTTTCCACCCACTGAGCTGGCCTGGGGTGGCTCCACCTCCAGAGAGGACACAGGTGGTGCTGGGCTCTGAGGCTTATACAATGTTGAGGCCCCTCTTTAAGACAAACAACACAGCATTTAGACTAGATGTGATTGTGGAGGTGGCTACACACATCCACACATGACCAGACTGTTTGAACAGCACACGCGCGCAAATGAGTGTGTAGAAGTGGTGCGTGTGGGGGGTGCCAAGGTCAGGTTCTGGATTTGATGCTTTAATTACACGAGCTGGGCCACTGGGGAAGCTCCTGTCCTTTTCTTTTTATTGCAGCTTCCCATTGACCTAGAATTATTTCAACACAAAAAGTTGACAAAAGTTATAAATACAGAATTAGGCAAAGGGCCTTGAAGGGGTCAGTGAAAGTTAATGGGGCCTGAAGCTTAAGTTTCACAAGATTTCAGGAATGTCCCTCTGGCCAGCCTTCTGATTTTTGTCAAGAAAAATTATAACCTAGACTTTTAGGTGAAGTCTGAGTGAGTTAATGGACTCAAGATTAAAAAGTCAAAAAACAGTGCAGTCCAGACAGAAGGTGCCTGAGCTGAACGCTGTCCACGGGCGGACAGCCCTGGCCTCCGACATGCTCTCTGAGGCCCCGGCCAGCTTGACACCTCCTGAGCGGGCTAGTCCAACCCTCTCAATCACTAATGTAGACACTGAGGACGGGAGACAGGGGAGCACCTGGGCTCCCTCCAAGGGCAGGGAGGCAGGCCCGAACCTGGATCTCCCTCCCTCTCTGGCCAACTTATAAACTTCTCCCTCTCCTCCCACTCCCTGCCCACTGCTTCCAGGTGGAGAGTCCACCTGGGGAAGGAGGATCCAGAGACCAAGACCCGGTGGCATGTCCCCTGGAGGGCACCCCCAAGGCCCCTCTTCTCTGTCCCTTGCCCATCACTTCCCTCCCCCTCTCTCCCCAGGAATCCCAGCTATCCCCGGGACACGAGGACCCAAGGGTCAGAAGGGAGACCCTGGCACACCTGGCCATCCTGGCAAAAATGGCCCCAGGGGAGCCGCTGGGCTTAAGGGACCCCCTGGTGTCAGGGGACCCCCCGGGCCGCCGGGTCTGGAGGGCAGATACAAGCAGAAGCACCAGTCTGTGTTCTCAGTCACGCGGCAGACAATCCTGTACCCGGAGTCCAACAACCTGGTCAAGTTCAACGGGGTCATCACCAACCCACAGAGGGACTATGACACGAACACGGGCAAGTTCACCTGCAAAGTGCCCGGCCTGTACTACTTTGTCTACCACACATCACAGACAGCCAACCTGTGTGTGCAACTGTACCACAGCGGCAGAAAGGTGACCACCTTCTGTGACCACATGTCCAACAGCAAGCAGGTCAGCTCAGGTGGTGTGCTGCTGCAGATGAAGGTGGGCCAAGAGGTGTGGCTGGGGGTCAACGACTACAACGGTATGGTGGGCACTGAGGGCTCCGACAGCATCTTCTCTGGCTTCCTGCTCTTCCCCGACTAGGGCAGGCAGGTCTGCTCCAGCCCCGGTTGCCCCACCTCCCACCTGCTCAGTCTGCTGCTTGGCCCACCTCTGTGTCTTTACTCAGGTCTTTCTGGAAACCCTGCTGGATGGATGCCTCCTCCAGGAAGCCCACCCTGACCCTTTGCCCCACAAGTGCCCTCCCTCCTCTGAACTCCTTTAAGAGCCACTGCTTTGACATTTAACCAACACTTCTGGGACTGTGGTTCATTTTTCCCAAAAGAGGCAGGGAGATACATAAGTAAAGAATTAAATCAATAAACATGCATGACTCAGATTCCTCATTGCCAATTCCTTGAAGAAACAGCTCTCTTCACCTGCTCTTGCTTCTATGGCTTCTCGACCTTTTGGATCAGGTCAAGGACAGATCTGCATCTACCACAGCTGTCATGGGCTCTCGGCTCAGATAGGGCATCCAGTTGGAGCTCAGTAAAGGTTGGTGCAAAGGTTGAGACACTTGGTACCATTTGGTTGTTTGGGAGAGATGTGTATTGAGAGAAGGGGTTGTCTGCTGTCACTTGTTTGAGGCACCACTGTCAGTATAGGTATTAGTGCTCACAAGTCAGTGAGAGTATGTTTGAATCCCCAAACCTATGTTGACCTATGTGGAATTTCACAGGCACCTGTCACAGGAGGGGTCTGGGCTCAGGTAAGCCCAGAGCACACATGATGTGTGATAAATTAATACTAAATTCATCAAATGAATGAATGAATGAGTGGGTGAATGAATGCCCACAGGCAGAGTAAATGAATGAGTGAATTAAAAAAATCATAATAGTTCAGATTTATTGATCACTTATAATGCACTAAGCATTATGATAACACATTTATGAAATGATTTCATATTCATTACTGTATTCAGTGAAGGGCGTGAATGGAGCTGGGGATGGATCTGGCCATGGTAGCCCCAGGAGATCATGTAAAACCACCACTGCCACAAGCCGTCAGGCTTTGCCCGTGAGGTTCTGATGGGTGGCCCCAGCGCCACCTTCCCTATCAGAGGATGGGAGGCCAGCTGCTAAGCTGTTTACTGTGGTGGCCACCAGAAAGGGTTGACAAAGGTTGAAAAGATGCAATGTGTAATTTTCCTGAGCAGATGTCAGGGCTGGGCACTGGAATCCAGGGAGACCAGAGACGCACTTGGGCCTGGGAGAACCAGCCTTGCCTGACTGGATCTCAACTTATTCCAGAAGGCCTTGCTGAGCTCTCAGAGGCACTGGCTGACTATGGAGGCTGCTGGAACAGTTGGTCCAGCTGAGCTCTGCAACTACCTTCATTCACTTTGGCTCTTCTTCATAAAGGGAATATTTCAGGGCCTCCCTGGTGACACAAGGGGTTAAGCACAGCACTGTGAAGCTATCCTCAGCCTCTGCAGCACAAGTTCGATCCCCCTGCCGGCCAGGGAGCTGCCTACATGGCACAGCAGACCTCTCCTGTCTCGCCCGTTGCTCCCCTCAGTGGTGTATTTCAGTAGATCCACCTGTTCTGCTCCCCGCTCTGTCTCTGGTGAATCTTCTCACCCCTGACACCTCTGGGCTGTGCCCCAGTTCTTACATGCACAAATAAATAAATCTTAAAAATAAAATAAAAGGAATATTTCATACCTTCATGCCTTTCCCCCTGAAGGTCCTTCATCCTAGAGCTATCAATAGAACCTCTGTCCACCTGGATGATGCACATTCAACTGTCAAGATTCAAACAAAGATCACCTCCTCCAAAAAGTCTTTCCAGATTTTACCCTTTGTGTCCTAACAGTACCCTCCAAGACTTGGACCACAAAGTCATCCTTCGTTAGAGCCCAGGTGTGACCTGCAAGTTTGGTAGTGTGACCTGCAGACTTATTACAAAACAATAAGAACAAATCAATTTCTGGAACCCAATGCTGTTTTATAAAGGTTGGAGAATGATAGGACTACAAATGGGCAGTTTGGGCAGTTTGATGGGCAGTTTGATTCACTTACTTACTTACAAGTTGACCTTGGTACTGGTTTCTGAGTTTCCTTGAGGGTGAGCCACTTTGATACATATCTGACACATAGTAGGGGCACGGAAATGTGTCATACAGGAAGGAGGCAGAGTCAAAAACCCACACACAGATATAGAAGATCAGCAGTAAGGGTGAAGAAAGTAGTTGGTCCAGGAGGCTGGGCCCCTCTGGCAGGGACAAGGCAGACATCATGGGTCACTCCGTTCACGACTCTCCCTGCATCAAGCACTTAGCAGTCTGCACACAGTGTCCCAAACGACACAGCTTTCTTCTCGGTTCTCTTTTGTTTAAAAAAATCAATACACCGCTCATGTAGGCCGCCATGTCTCATCAGGAACCCATACTTTTGGAATTGACAACTTTGGGGGCCATTTCATTTTCCATAATTGTTTCCTTGTTGATCTTTCTTTGTCAGGAGGGACAGGCCTTTGAAAATGCCAGCTTGCCTGCTGGGCTGAGGGGGGCAGAGCTAGGGCTTTCAGGGGAGGCAGGTATGGAGGGGTGAAGGTGGGACAGGAACCAGAGCAAGATACCCCAAAGAATCTCTTTCAGACCATGGGACATTGAGGGATGTCAGGCTTCTTCTCCCGGTCTTCCTAAGGACCGTCCCCTCTCTGTTAGGGATGCAAGTCAGCAATTTCATGGTATAGACACCTATTGGTGCCAAGGCCCAGAGACCCCTCAGTTCCTGTCCCTGATCTAGGCACAGCTCTTAGGCACCTAGGCTGCTAGAATTCTGTCCTCTCTTCATATATATAACACCCCAGGTATGCAGGACTACCTCACTGGCCCCCCAAAACAACCCCAAGAGGTGAGCACCCATGCCCCTGATTTGCAGATGGGGAAACTGAAGTGCACTTGAGCCTACATAGCTAGAAATAGGCAGAGCTGGGATTCAAATTGTGGCTGATTCCAAAGCCCAGGCCCCTACCCTCTTTCTGCTGCTTCTTATCCTTAGTCTCCTTGTTTCTACCCCAAGTCCAGAACCATCTTTTCCTATTGCCGTCAACCACCAGAACTAGAGCCCCAGGCCCAGTAACCTCAGGATCCCTCAAGCAGACACATGGACCTGCATCTGATCACCACCTTCTCTCTGCTCAGAATCCGCCTTCCCTTCCTGCAGGCCTGGGCCCCTTTGGGTCTCTGGTTGGCTGACCCAGAGCCCTTTGGTTGTATTAAAGTAGTCTCTTCTTGCTTATCGCCCACTGCAGTTAACACCACATTTCCACCCACCAGCATGCACAAGTTCTAGGGTTTTCAATCTCCAAGCACGGATGTCCAGGAGGACCCTCCTGGCCTAGGGCAGCTCCCCGTGCTCAATGGGCAGCTGAGAGGCATCCTTGGCCGCAGCCATAGCCAGGGGCTGACTCCCGGGGCCGGCAGTGCCTGGCCGCGAGCTCTGTCAGACACTGCAGAAGGTGAGGGCTCCTGCAGTGACATTTATCACCGGTGCAGTGAAACCCTTATGTCATTCCGTGTTTGACCCCAGCCTCCCCCACTAGAAGGGACCCCCTCGTGGGGGCAGGAGCCATGACTGATTCACTTGGTGGCTCTATCCACAGCACCCAGCACAGAGAGGCTCCTGTTAGCGTCCCTCTGGGCCTCAGTTTCCCCTATATAAAGTGAGTTGGATGACTGGGTGACCTCCTAGCCCCTCTCCAGCCCTAATTTGGTGTGATTCGAGGATCAACTAGCAACAGGCCCCTGCCTGTGCCTGCTATTATCATCGACCATAAGCCCTGCTGGAAGCAGAGGAGTGGGTATAAATAAATAATGACCCTATTTAAAATTCATTATTAGATTATTTTCTGAGAACAGGGAAAGAGCAGGGGTGCAGAGTGGGAAGAAAGCAGAAGAGGTTGAGCCCAGGAGAGAGCTGCCTGGGACGAGGAGCAATGTTAACAATTGGCATGTGCACTGCGCTTTACAGCTGACCCCACTCTCTTCCCTCCGCTCTTCCATCTGATACCCCAGGACCCTGAGCAAACTTTAGGGCAGGTGTAGTTATGGTCCCATCACACAGCAGAGGAAATTGGGTTCCCTTGGTTGAGAATATTTATTGGCAAATGGCAGAATCAGAACGTGAATCAAGATTTTCAGTCAAATCTAGCGCTCAGGCACCAGGCCAGCAGCACTTTCATTTCTTTGAAGAACATCCTTGTCCCTTGTAGGAAATCATGGGGTCCGGGCCTTGGCAGGCGAGCCGCTAGTTGTGGACATCCTCCCGGGACAGCTGTGCTCCCCACAACCGCTGAGCCAGCGAAATCAAGCTCACCAACCCCTACCCCCATTTACGGTCAGCCCCTCCACTTTGCAGAAACAGGACCTGAAACTGCCCGAGGGCAGCAGGAAGCTGTGAGAGTGGGATACGGGGAGGGGATGGACCTGCCAGACACGGGAGGGGGCCGTTAGGGGAAGGCCCTTCCATGTCTGGGGAACGGAACTTCCGCTTCGGACGGACAGCGGCAGGCACCCGGTTCCTGGTCCCACTGCTGCCCAGCCCAGCGGCGCCAGCGGACCCCAGGTTCCCAGGTGAGGATGGGGCTCGCGTCTGGGGGGACTGCTGCTACCCAGGGCCCCAGATGATGGGGAGGTAACCTGAAATGGGAGCCATGCACGAGGACTGGGGGTCACTGAGACTCAAGCCAAGGCCTGCCTGTGCCTCCCAGCTGCTGGTGATCCTGGGCGAGCCACGGAACCTCGCTGCAAGTCCTGACGGAGAGCAACCCCCGCACCTCGCGTGCTGCCTGGTGCAAGGTCTGGCAGAGGCAGAGGGGAAATTAGAACCCAGGTTCTCTGCCCTCACCCTTGCCCAGCCAGCCTTTTTCTAACGCCTGCCTTCGCTGGTTTTCTCACCGCTTGCGGAAAAAGCTCAGCTAGACTCTTTTCTGGAAATGATCTGACTCACGGGTGAAGTGGGGACTAGTTGCTAGTACTGAGTGAACGCAATCATGGTGATAAAGGAGTAGGGGGCCCATCCCCGCTCAGGACCTCGTTCCTTTTCAGGTCCTTCTCGCCCAGTCCTCGGGCAGCCCTCCCGGGGCAGTCACTGTGCCAAGGAGGCTCAGAGAGGCTCAGGCCCCTGTCTGAATTCAAGTGGCAAGGCAGCGGCGTGGGGCGTTCCAGGTCACTAGGGAGGCTGTAAAGGGACTGCTGGGGAGGAAGGAGGGGGACGGGTCAGAGATGAGGGGAGAGAGGTGAGGAGCGAGGCTGACAGCGGTGGAGGGTGGGCAGAGGATGGGTGGACCAGACAGCTCAGTGTGCCCCCAAGTTTGAGACTCGGTGGCCCTGAAATGAACCAGAGCCCGGGTCTTCCATACCCGACCTGCTTGCCCCAAAGCCCGGCATCTGCCACCCTCACCCCACCCTGGCAGCTGGTGGGAGCTCCTTATGCACGGGGCCTCCACCTGACAGAGCCCCTCCTGAGCCTAATCTCCCAAAGGATCAGGTCCTCTTTGATTGCCCAGCCATCTCCCGTCACACCCCTAAACTTGGAAATTCTTGGATGATGGTGATAGAAAACAGCTGATACTTGTTAAGCCTTTCCACCATGTCAGGCTCTCTTGTGAGTCCTAACTCACCTGCCCTCCCACCAACCCTGCAGATCAAGATTAGCTTTGTGTCCATTTTGTAGAAGGCAGTGCTGTGACCAGAGGAGAAGTGACTTTCCCGAGGCCCTGAGCGAAAAGAGGCAGAGGTCCCATTTGGAGCCCCCGGGCTCCCTCCACTGGTGGGTGTCCTACCTAACAATAGCAGCAGTAATAGTAACAATAAAAGCCTCCTCCACCAAGCAGCCTACCCAGCTTGGCTCCAAGGGTGCACCAACTCTCTGTCAGGTATCTGGCTCCAAAACCACCAGGCACGGTGACCTCCTAATGGAGCACCTCATACATTTTAAAATCCCGTGAGTGTGGGTTTGAATCTCACACAGGGGCTGTGTGACCTCCATGGAGGTTCGTACCCTCCCTCACACCCAGATCCTCCAGTGTAAAATGAAAGAGCACCATGGGTACAGTAAGAACCAAGTCAAATGAGCTAGCGGTACGTAAAAGCGCAGAACCTGGCACCTGCGAAGGGGCTATTGAAGCTGCCGAATTATCATTTGTAAAACTTCCTGCAAGAGTAGGAACTGCTGCTTATTCAAAAATAAGCAGGCACGGCCAGTCCCTGAGCCTCCCTTTCTTTGGGGCATCACAGGCCCTGGTCCCACCTGCCTTTGCTCCCTTTTCTTGGTTCTCAGGACAGGGTCTGGCCTAGCCCAGGAGTTTGGGTGATGAAATGATGAGGATCACACTGAGGAGCTGAGACCAATTTTCTGAGCACATGAGCCAAAATCCAGTGGATTTTTCTGGTCCTGGGAAGGCTTCCACTTCCAAATTCTGGGTTGGCACAGCCAGGTTGATGCCGAGAGGGAAGGGTCTTGCTACAGCCCTGCCATTGATCAACTCACCAGCTGACTTTGGGCAGGTTGCATTCTGGTGCATGAGCCTCAGTTTCCACATCTGCAAGATGGGAAAATAATCACAACCCACTTCCCCAGAGCACTGTGAGGACCGGACAACAGCTGGCCTCAAGTTCCGTGATTCCTCCCCAGTGGGACCGCGCCTGGATCCTCAATAATCCTGGGAGGTGGGCAGGGGCCAATCTTCCCTCCCATTTTAAGAACAGGAAATAGCTCAGCCTCTGTGAGCTAAGAGGTAATGTGGGAAGGCTTCTTGGAGGAGAAAGACTTTGACCCAAACCTTAAAGGATGGGGAGAAATTGACTGGGCAAAGGTGGAATGGGCTGTCTTGGTAGGTCTTAAGCTGCCCATCACTGAGATGGTGCAAACTATGAAGGAAAGAGCCCTGGGCAGAGATGTTATAGGGGAAACTTCACAGTAGGTTGAGGGATCCTCAAAAAGTTAAACACAGACTTACCATAAGACCTAGTATTCCACTGCTAGGCATATTCCCCAAGGAATTCAAAACAGGTACCCCAAAAAATCCTTGTGCTTGACTGTCGCAGCACTATTCACAATAGCCAATAGCTGAAAGTGTCCCAGATGCCCATCAAGGATGAATGGATAAACAAATTGTAACAGAGCCATACCATGGAATATTATGTGGCCCTGAAAAGGAAGGAGGTGCTGGCACATGCTACCGTGTAGATGAAACTTGACTAAACCTTATGCTAAATGGAAGAAGCCAGCACACAAGGTCCCAGAGGGAAGGGTTCCATGTAGATGAAATGTCCAGAACAGGGAAACCCAGAGTCAGAAAGCAGATTAGCAGTTGTCGGGACTGAGGAGGAGAGGAGACTGGGGAGTAACCACTGAATGAGGAAAGAGTTCTATCTGGGGGTGATTAAAATGCTTTGGAATTCAATAGAGGTGGTGCTTGCACAACATGGTGAATGTGCTAAATGCTGCTGCAATGTTCCCTTGAACAGGGCTCATTTGTAAAATATCATAGCTCACTTTCTCTCATAGACCTCACCCACAGATGAAAGGGTAGGAGAGTAGTTTGTATGACTTGATGGTGAAGGACGTTTAACCAATCACTAGCTCACAAATGTGCAATTTTTCTTCTCTCTCAAATTTTCCCCTAAAATCTGGGGGTCCAGTCAAATCACGACAGCTTCCAGAGCCATGGAAAACCCATGGCTGCCTTGCTCGGCTAAATGTGAGAGTCGCTAAACTGAAAACTGTTCACAGTTTGAAAGCAACAAACCCAGTTCAAAAATATATCAGTTAGGGCCTCCCCGGTGGCGCAGCGGTTGAGCGCTGGGTTGCGAAGCTGCCCGCAGCCTCTGCGGCGCCGGTTCGATCCCCGGCTGCTCCCCGGCCACCGGAGGAGGGTCCCACGTGGCGCGCAGACCTCTCCTGCTGCCCGCTGCTCCCCTCAGCAGTGTACTTCGGTCCTTCTGCCTGCTCTGCTCCCCGCTATGGCTCTGGTGAATTCTCTCACCCTCCCGTGCTTCTGACTGTACCCAGTGCTTGTATAAACAAACAAACAAACAAATAAATAAAAAACATGCCTCTATAAAAAAAAATTAAAAAAAAAATATATCAGTTAACTGATTGGGGCAGCAGGGAGAAGAGAGAGAAGTTCATAGTTTAAAATAAAGGAACCCAGTTCAAACTTCAGTGCCAGCCTAGCAGATGAGAAGTAACACCCAAATGCCATAAATTTCAACCAACAACTTAGCAATAAAAAGAATGAGATTATCGATACACATGACCTCAAAGAATCTCAATGGCATTTTGTTGAGTGAAAGAAGCCAATTTCAAAAGGCTGCAGCTGTGTGATTGAATTTATATGATTTTCTGGGGTGGGGGGAAATCTATAGTAATGGTGACCAATGGTTGTGAGAGTTTAGGGGAACCAGTGGGGTGTTACTCTACAGGGTTGGTCTGGGAGAGTTTGGGGGGGGGCAAAGAAACTGTTCTGTATCCCAGTGGGAGTGGTGGTTACATGAACCTATAGCTGTGTTAACATTTATAGAACTGTAACCCCCACCCCCCCCAAAATGGTTAGTTTTACTGTGTGATAATTTTAAAATAAAATAAAAAATTCCCCCTGAAATAAGTTAATTTTATATTATGAGAGTGTCATTTCAATTTAAAATAAAAGAATGGACTAGTGGCCTTTCAAGTCCCACACCGACCAGTTCCTCCAGCCATAGGCCTCTTCCTCATCCTCCTAAGGGTTCAGAAGGGGCCAGCACCACCCTCTCGCCAGAGCCCACAGTTCTTGGCGGGGCCAGCAGGCAGACAGGCGGAGTGTGAGTTCTGGCCACAGGCCTTACTGAGTGTCCCTGAGCAGATGGCTTCACCTCGCTGAGCTTCAGTGCCCTCTTTGCTATAGAAATGGTAGCTTTTTCCATGTAGGGCTGCTTCAAGGATGTAAGTGGCCTTCGGTGAAAACAGCCCAGGCCCCTGCATCCTGATGCTCTAATGAATAACACTTGACATAAAACCCCAAACCCACATACCACAGCCCAAGCCCTCACCTCCTATCCCTTGACCCCTCACTCCCTCTGGCCACTCTGGCCTCCCTGCAGGCCAACCCTCCAGCCTCTGTCCTGCCTCAGGCCCTTGCCCCTACTGCCCTTTCCTCTAGAACATTCCTCCCCTAGTCCTTTCTGAGCCTTCAGTTCTTGGCCTAAACATCACTTCTCAGGGAGGCCTCCAGGGTCTAGGAAAAGTTCCTGGTGGGAGGGCTCACTCACAAAAGCAGCTGCTTCTGCCCCAGGATCACCTGGCCTCATGTCAGCTCTCAGCTGTCTCTGAACACCTCTGCTTACTTGTCTGCTGACCTGCTGGCCACTGTGTTCTCCCAAACTGTCAGCTCCACGAAGGCAGGAGTCACACGGTCTTGTCCATCTCTGAATTCCCAACACCCACACAGGTCTGGTGGGTGAGACACAGAGTGAACACACCAATGAGCGAGTGAATGAATGAATGAACAAGTGAACACGGGAAATCACCTACCACATCTTCTTGTCCCCCGCAGGAGCAGCTGAGACGGTGTGGTGATGAAGACCCCGAGGGCGGCGGTCCCGGCACTGCTGCTGCTACTGCTCCTGGGGCTGCTGGACTCCTGCTGGGCCCAGAAGAGCTGCACCGGGCACCCGGCCATCCCTGGCACCCCTGGCATCCCCGGGCTACCTGGCTCTGATGGCAAACCTGGGACCCCAGGGGTAAAGGGAGAGAAAGGTACTGTGGGTTTGGGGGACACTGTAGTAACACTGACCAAGGCCCCATCTCTTGCTTCCCAAATCGTAGCTGTCCAGCCAAGAGGTGCAACACCCCGTGCAGATTCACCAGCCTGCAGCCCTCGAAATAAATCTGCAAGGAGGGAATTCTGACTCTGCTTTATAGAAGGGAACGGAGGTGTCCAGAAGGCAGCTCACTTGCTCAGAGTGAGCTGTTGAGACAGCTCTCTTCCTAAACCCAGGTAGAGAAGCCCCCCACAGTCACAGTCTGGGGTTCCCTCCAGAGTCGGTGGTGTCACCTCTCTGAATTGCAACTTCCTCACCTGTAAAAGGTGGACAATATGCATTTGCAGAGTTGTGGCTGGATTCATAGGAGTCTTCATACCCTGGAAGATGGAGTTCATTCACCCAGTGAGTCTGTGGTTGGAGTCAAGCACATAATCTCATTGAACCCTCCCAATCCCATAAAATACCATCACCCTCAATCTAGATGAGGAAGCTGCAGCTGGAAGAATGTGACTCAGTCAAGGTGACACAACTAATAATGGCAGATGTGACATGAGAAGCGGACCCGCCTGTCCCTGGAGCCCTATTCTCAGCTGCTTTGCCACCCCATGCCAGACCAGGCTGTCGTGGCTGCCTGGAGCAGTGGGCAAGAAGGGCCCTAAGGCCCACTTCCAGGTTTAACAAGACAACGTTGTGACTGATTAAGCATGTCTGCCATGGAGTGAGTGGGTGGCGGGGAGAGGTAGAGCGTTCTCCAGGAAGTCACTCGTCCCTGCTCCAAGCTGAAGCCCAAGAAGGGTGCCTGTGTGAGCTGGTGAGGAGGTCGGCCCAGAGTCTTCCCCTGCTCCCCTTCCCAGGTGCCTCGGTCCCATTGCTGTCAAGCACATCACACACCCAGAGAGCTGGAAGGAGACCAGACCTCCTCTGATACCCACCTCTTCTTTTCCACATATGGGAAGCCGAGGCCCAGAGTGGTGCAGGGGTCTGTCGGAGATCACACAGTCAGGCCCCTGCCTCGCAGTCCAGGCCCAGGCCTGCTTCTTTTGGTTCCCAGTCACCTCTGGCCTCCTCATTTCTATTATCTCTGTTTTTCCAGGGCTGCCAGGGCTAGCTGGAGACCATGGCGAGTTTGGAGAGAAGGGGGACACAGGGATTCCTGGGAATCCAGGAAAAGTTGGCCCCAAGGGCCCTCTTGGCCCCCCAGGCTTACCAGGGCCCCCTGGACCCCCTGGCCCCGAGGGTGAATCGGGCGACTACAAGGCCGTAGAGAAAGTCGCCTTCTCGGCCAGTCGGACCCTCAACATGGCCCTGCGGCGGGACCAGCCCATCCGCTTCGACCACATAATCACCAATGTGAACAACAACTATGAGCCTCGCAGCGGCAAGTTCACCTGCAAGGTGCCCGGCCTCTACTACTTCACCTACCACGCCAGCTCCAGAGGGAACCTGTGCGTGAACCTCATCCGCGAGCAGGAGACCAAGCAGAAGGTGGTCACCTTCTGTGACTACGTCTCTAACACCTTCCAAGTCACCACGGGTGGCATAGTCCTCAAGCTGGGCCAGGGGGAGCGAGTCTACCTGCAGGCCACCGACAAGAACTCCCTGATCGGCATGGAGGGCGCCAACAGCATCTTTTCCGGGTTCTTGCTCTTCCCAGATGTAGCGGCTTGACCCGGAGCCTGATTCTCCCCCTTCCATCCCCCCCAACAGCAACATTCAACTTCAGCCCCAACCCCACCACCCCACCTGGCCAAAGCACACAGTAGGGCTCCATGGATGTTGCTGAATAAATCAACTCTTCAAGGTCAAAGGACTAGTCTAACTTTGAACTCTATGTCCTAACACCTAGCACACAGTAGGTGCTCAGAAATGCAGCTTCAGTGTGGTTGAATGACTGAACAATGAATGAATAACCTCTGAGAGCAAAAAACCCCATCTAGTTGGAGGTGACTAGAGGACGCCAACTGTCTGTGTCCCCAGCTCTGTGCCAGCCCCACAGTGGAATAGAAAAGGAACGCTATCAGTTAACACCTACTGTGGTCTAGCACATTCTCTCCTAACTTCTTAATTCTCTTTCTCTCACTAACTTCATTCTCTCATGCGTTCCTCACTCTCTCGCTAACCTCACTCTCAATCCTTGGAGAGCAGTTGCATTATGCCCACTTTTCAGAGGAAAAAATAAGGGTTGAGGGGATGAGGGATAGCCCTAGATCCCACAGCAGAGCTGGGAATCAAGGTCAGGTCTGTCTTCTGATGATCTGAGAGTTCCCTCAAGGCAACAGAGCTAGGCCCGCCTAACAGGGTTTTCTGCTTGTAAAGTCATATACACCCAAGGGGTCAAGGGGGGCCCTTCAAAGTCTTAACTGACCTTGGAACCAGGGGCTGTTCTGTTTGATTCTCCCCACTTGCCCTCCCTGATAGCTTCCCTGCCTGGCACGAGTTCAGTCATCCAGTTAGAACAAATGCCACCACCCTGCTCAGAAACCTTCAGCGGCTCCCCACTACCAACTGGATATGGCCCTGGTCGGTGAGCCCAGCGTTCAAGGCAATATGGATTGACTGCCAGTCTCTCTCCCTCCCCTCCTAGGCAAAGAACACCTGTGTCCTGTGGCCATCAGAGCCGCCGAGGGAGTAGACAGCTAGTCCGGTGGGTCTCAAACTTCTGGGGTCAAGATCCCTGGGAGGGCTTGTTAGAATTTGTGTTGGCTGCATTCCCACTTGGTACTGCTGCCACCTAGGGGACCACACTTCAACCACTGCTGGAAACTTACTGCTCCCATTCTAGAGATAAGCATATTGAGGTTCAGGAATGTTCTTTTTCCACCTCACACAGGAGATCTGGAGTCAGACCAAGGCCTCTTTCACCCAGGGACCATTTGTTAGCGCTGTGCAGCCCGAGGGTAGGGGAGGCCATAGGGCAGTGTGGGCAGACCTGGTGACAGTGCCCCCGCCGGCTCCTGCAACCAGCATGCCCCTCCCAAGACCTCAGTGCTTTGAGCCGGTGAAGAGGAGGGAGGCAAAGGGCAATGAAGAAGCAAAGTTTCTGCAACGCCCCATCCTAAGCACCCATGTTAATGCACAAAACCTTTAAATCACGTTCCCCCTTCACAGATGGGAACACCGAGAGACGGAGCAGTGGAGCTACTTGCCCGACATCACACTCATAAGTGATAGAAGGGATGCAAGCACGTCACTTCAGCTCCAGAGCCAGCTCGCCATCCCTGCTCTGATAGGCAGGCAGGAGACACTCCCAGGGGCTGTGTTTGTGGCAGCCAAGGTGCTGCCTCCAGAGTCAGACACACTCAAGTTCAAATCCTGCCTGGGCTTCTTTCCAGCTCTCTGAGCAATGGTCAGATGATTGCCTGGTCTCCTATTTTGTCCTTCAACAAACACAAAGATGTTCAGCATTCTTGATTCTTAAACTCCTAGAAGTGGACTTCCTCAGGGAGAGGATATGCAAACTCTGAAGGCTTAGAATCATGTTTCTCCATGGAGGGATGGGCTACCCCGGGCTGAGCATGCCTGGCCAGCTCCCATCTTGCTGCCACCAGGGGGAGCAGATACTGGAGGACAGCCTGGCATGCTAGGGGTGGACCTAGGGGTAAGCTGGGACCCGGGCAGTGGGTGCTCCTTCCTCCTCCCTCTCTTCCTCTCAAGTCCATCTCTAGCCGACCCCCTGGGTGGGCAATGAGCTTCCAGTATGGGGTTGAGGGCTTTGAAGACCCAAACTGTTCTAAACCAGGGTCCTCACGATGTGGTTACAGCATCAGCACCACCTGGGAGCTTGCTAGAAATGCAGAATCCCGGGCCCCACCCAAACTGTCTATATCAGAAAATCTGGTTTAAGGTGGCGCAATCTGTTTTAACAAGCTCTCCAAGTAAATTTGAAGCTGCTAAATTTAGAGAATTACTGCTCTAAACCAGGGGATGCCCAACTTTTTCTGTAAAGAGCCATCCAGAAACTATTTCCTCTGTGGGTGGGACCAACTCTGTTACAGCTACTTGCCCTGTGTCTGTAGCATGCAAACAGTCGTGGGCAACATGGAAAGAGCATGGCTAAAATTTGACATAATTTTCAGGTGTCACAAAATATTTTCCTTTTGGTATTTTCCAAACATCTAGAAATGTAAAGGGCACTCCTGGCTAACGAGCTGCATACATTCCATGGGTGGGATCGGCCAGCCTGCGCGCCACCCAAGTTTAGCTCCTGGTTTGGAAAAATAGGAGCAGGAATGTGAGCCCAGAACTGCCAAGTCAGCGCGACTCCCATTAGGCTACCCCACCAGATGAGACTATGCATTTACTGAATGAATATATGAGACATGCCATGAGACAGTGACAGGAAAGCTCTAGATCTTATTGCTCTTGCGCTGCAATGGGCATCTTGGTCCCTGCCCTTAGCAACCCGAGGTTCAGGGTCTCCAAAGTTAGTGGGCAACCCAGTCCCCTGGGCATTTGCTGGCGTCTAGGCTACGTCCCTGAGGTTCTGTTTCTAGAAGACCTGGAGGTGCCCAGAATCTCTACTTTTCTCAAACACCCCTGGTGTTCCCATTGCAGGTGCCCCCTAAAAGAGAGGACTGAGATCATGGATGTGAAGCTGTGACTAACAGCCTAACCTCAGCCCCCAGGAGCCCACTGGCTGCATGGGGTGAAAGGGAGAGAGTAAAAGAGACTTCTCATGGTTGAACCCTATGCGAGGTGAGCGTAGAGGCAGGAATGACACACAGCAGGTTTTCTGTGACCCAGCAGACCGGGTAAAGGAGTCAGAGTCCTCAGTGGTTTTGCAGGTTTTTATTGGGGTTTACCAGGTACACGGCAGGCAGGGGCGCTGGGGGGCGGGGAGGCTGGCAGGCCTCCCAGCACCCAGCAGATCTTCACTCTGGGCTCTCCGGCCTTCTCTCGGCTTCTGCTTCTCTTGCTTCTCTCTCAGCTTCTGCTGGCGTCCCTGTAACGCCGTCCTTAAAAGCCCAGTTGAATCCCATCTACCTATGCCCACACCCGACTCCAGGTGCCCGCCATCAGGCATGCTTTCAGGACCGCAGGGTTCCGTCATCTATCCTGACGGCGGGAGGGCAGAAAAGCCTGATACTTTTACCTTCCCCTACAGTGAGCAATGCAGACGGGGAGGAACTCGGGAGCTACAAAGACAGGAGGCTGAATTCAGATCCCACGTCTGCCTCTGACAGGCCCTGTGTTCTCGGGCTAGTTATGGCTCCCTCATCTGTAATGTGGAGGTGATGGTCATGCCCCCCCCAGAAAGTTGATGAGGGTTAAATGTGATTCTCTGTGCAAAGTACCCCCTGCTCCCCACCCCCCTCAGTAAGTTCACCGTGAGTATTAACTGTAATTATCCACGGTGGGGTGTTATTGGAATAACATACAGCTCCTCAAATGTTAATGTGCATAAAAACCACCTGGGGTCTTGGTCAAATGCATAATTCTTAGTTAAATGCATATTCTAATTCAGTAAGCCTGGGCTGGGGCTGAGACTTTGCTTCCCTGGGGAAACCCGGGCAGCTGAGCAGGGTCTGCGCTTCACGTGTCCAGGCCTAGGAGCCCTGATCAGCACGTTGACCTGTTGTGAACTTGAATTCTGTCACCCATGGGTGGTTAGCACAGGCACCGGGAGATGACCAGCACTGGGTGATGAGCTGCTAGCTGCGGGGGGCAGGATTATTGTCAGATGGTGAGGGCGCGGGAGCTCACTGGCAGACAGGCAAGGACAAAGGGTGGAGAGTCCATTTCCCAGATGCAGAGGGCCCTGGCTCTGAGCACTGCTCCCCTTTCCTCTCCACATCCCCTTTTTCTGGCTTCCTGCTGACAACGGGGGCACCAGGTGCTCCGCCTTACCCACACCCCCTCCAACACTCACACAAACACCTGCCCTCCCTGCAGAGCTTGCGTTTATTTTTGCACGTAGCCAGGAGGCATTCTCATCGACAACCCTATGGGCCAGATGCAGCAGGAACGGGGGCGTTTGTTCAAGAAACCCAGCAAGGCCCACCCAGGGAGGGACACCCTCAGTGAGGGGCCTGACAGAGCGGGAAGTCCTCTGGAGAGGAAGTCAAGAGCTCCCAGGTCTAGATTGGCCTCAGAACCTGACTTACTGTGTGACCTCAGGCAAATTACTACCCCTCTCTGAGCATGTGCTAAGCCTACTGACTAGCGGAGTTTGCTGCCCACAAGAAAAGGAAAGAACTATTATGGGGCAACTGACCAGGGAGGAAGCCACGGCTATCCCTCATCCACACCTACACAGAACACAGCAGAACCCGGGAGAGAGCAAAGGAGGCCAAAAATGGATACTTGACAACCCAGGAGCCCAGAAAATTCATGTGCATGAAACTGATGGATGAAAGCGTAGGTGTGTTGGGTAATTAGTTGATTAATTAATTGATTGATGAATCTTACTCCTAAGAGTACAGGGCCTGAAGACAGAGATATGTAATATATACTCAGTAAACAGTTGTTGAATGGAGGGAAGAAAAGCAAGAAGGAAAGAACATCAAAATGACATCCTGCCTGAAAAGAAAGGAATGGTGTGGGGTTTCAGAGGCCCTTGGGAGAGTGGCCAATGGAAGGTTTGGCATGTGCAAGGGAGACAAAGGCAGGCTGGTGTAGGGTCAGGAATGAACAGAGTGCAGGTTTTCTGTGATCCAGCAGACCGGGTGAAGGGGGAGTCAGAGTCCTGGAGCCCTCAGTGGCTTTTTTGCAGACTTTTATTAGGGTTTACCAGGTACACAGCAGGCAGGGGTACTGGGGGGCCGGGAGGCTGACAGGCCTCCCAGCCCCCAGCAAGTCTTCACTT